AAAAGATCATTTTTCAGACATCAAATCGATCACAAGCAGCAGGCTTATCACCACATGTCATCCTTTCATTCAGCGTCTTTCTACGCTTGGAAGGCTATGCTGAACTGCTGGTAATGTACGACCGTAAACGTGCCAAGGGTCTTCTACGGCTTGCGATGGGTGTCGGAGTTGGCACTACTGAGACTGGTAGTTTCTTTTTTTTTTTCATCTCTAAAAATCAAAAAAAGGAAACGCATAACGGTGGTACTGCGATCGCTTGTTTTTGTGTGACTTTGACAGCGAATACATTAAATCCGAAACCACAAAAAGCTGGAAAATTGGGTTTTTATGGGCACAACCTGCAGCGTTCATCACATAATTGATGCAGCAGTGTGTGAAAACTTCAATTGTTCATTTCTATACAAGTTCTAATGATGAGCCTTTGAGATGACAATGAGCTCGTTAAGTACGAAATTTCACTTTTCGTTAGGAAAGAAATAAAAAAAAAGAAAAAATTGGATTCCGTTGATTTAGAAATTCGTAAAATTAGGACAAAAAAATAAAAAAAAAAATTTATTTTACTCGCACATAAAGTTTGTACACTGATCAGCACGACTGATAATTGCAGGCCCAGGATCGGTTATGCAAAATCAGCGAAAAACGGGTGTAGTGCGACCAAATACCGCACAACCAGCGCCACAAATACCAGACTGTGAAAGCCTTGCCTCACTGCCTTTCGCTGTTTTGGAGAAATTATTCGACAAATTTTCGCCTGATATGGCAGAAGGGAAGTGAGTGTTACTGTCAGTACTGTTTTTTAGTTTTTTTATGTATTATTGTTGCATCATGATTCCCTCCTAGATAGAACATGTATACTAGCGCAAAATTGCCTACATAAGGCCGCTGTTTCTGTGTAAAAAAGTGTATGGTTGTTTTGTGCTGGCGGCCCCGACGGCCAACGATGGATGCGCGGACTCTTCTAGCCCGACTCATCAATTCCAAGGAGCCGGCGACCCAGCCAACGATTCTAGGAGGCGCCAGAGCACCGGGCCAACGGGCAGGTCGTCCGAGGCCCGACCCAACATTGTATTTAAGGAGGTAACTTGAGGATTAGAGCGTTGAAGCTAAAGCATATGCGCTTCGCTGATGATCAACAGCACTCGCGAAATGAACGAGATGTTGCAAGTCTGAATAAAAACTCATGTTTCGAAAACGAAAAGGTATGAAATACTGATGTGTCTACAGAGATTGACATCAGGTAGCTGGCATTAGCAGACATGAAATTGGTGATTGTGGCTTCGTTGATCG